AAGTAAAATACCTGGGAAAAAATTTAACCAAGGAAATGAAATATCTCTAAAGGAAAGCTATAAAACACTGATGAAAGAAATTGAAAAGGGCACACGTGCAAATAAAAAAACGTTGCATTTTCATGAATTGGAAGAATTAATGTTGTGAAAAGGGCCATACTACAAAAAGCAATATATACCTTCAGTGCATTCCCTATCAAAATACCAATGTCATTTATCACAGAAATAGAAAAAGCAGTCCTAAGATTTGTAAAGTACCACACAATACCCTGGATAGCCAAAGCAACAAGAACAACGATTATCACACTACCTGACTCCAAAATATACTGCAAAGCCACAATAACCTAAATAGCATGGTACTCTCATAAAAACAGATACATAGACCAATGGAAAAGAATATAGAACCCAGAAATAAATCTCGTATTTACGGCCAACTCATTTTCAACAAAGGCACCAAGAACATTCATTGGGAAAATGTCTCTTCAATAAATAGACATGTCACATCTCAAAAGAAGACATGGAAATGGCCAACAGGTATATGAAAAAATATTGAACATTAGTATTCATCAGGAAAATGCAAATCAAAATCATAATGAGATATTCCATCAACCTAGTTAGAATGGCTGTTGTCAAAAAGACAAAACATAAATGCTAACGGGATTAGGAGAAAAAGGGAACTCTTACACATTACTGGTGGGAATGTAAATTAGTAAAGCCATTAAGGAGGCTGGGCATGGTGGCACATGCCTGTAATTCCAACACTTTGGGAGGCCGAGGTGGGCAGGGCTTGAGCTCAGGAGTTCGAGACCAGCCTGGCCAACATGGTGAAGCCTGATCTCTACAAAAAATATAAAAATTAGCTGGGCATGATGGTGTGTGCCTGTAGTCCCTGCTACTTGGGAGGCTGAGGTGGGAGAATCACTTGATCCTGGGAGGTCAAGGCTGCAGCAAGCCAAGATTGCCCCACCACACTGCAGCCTGAGCAACAGAATGAGACCCTGTCTCAAAAATAAAATAAAATTAAAGTATAGCCACTAGCGGAAAGCAGCATGGAAGTTGCTCAAAAACTGAAAATAGAGCTCTCATATTATGCAGCAATCCTGCCACTTGGTATATATCCAGAAAAAAAGGAAATCAGTATGTTGAAGATATATCTGCACTCCCATGTTTATTGCAGTGCTATTCACAATAACCAAGATGTGGAATCTACCTACGTGTCCATCAACAGATGAATGGATAAAGAAAATGTGGTATATACACACAATAGAATATTCTTTTGCAATAACAATGAATGAAATTATGTTATTCATGGCAACATGGATGAGCTAGCTTGGGGACATTATGTTAAGTAAAATAAGCCAGGCATAAAAAAGATAAATACCACATGTTCTCACCCATATGTGGAAGCTAAAAACGTTGATCTCATAGAAGTAGAGTAGAATAGTGGTTTCTAGAGGCAGGGAAGTGTGTGGAGGGCAGTAGGGCGTAGCCAAAGGTTGGTTAACAGATGCAAAAGTACAGCTAGCTAGGATGAATATAGTGTTCTATAGCAGGATAGGGTGAATATAATTTACAACCATTTATTGTATATTTTCAAATAGCCAGAAGACTGGACTTTAAATGTTTTCAATACAAAGAAATAATAAATGTTTTAGGTGTTGGATATGCTAGTTACTCTTCTTTGATCATTATATATCATATACATATGTGGAAATATACTGTATCTTATAAACATGTACAGTTATTATGCATAAACTAAGAGTAATAATAAAAGCCCCAAACACAAATATTTCCTTTGTGCCTTTTGTCAAATTATAAAAAGGAAAAGTGCTATAGGAAAATTAATCTAGCAAAATGGCTTAGAGTGGATAGGAAGATATGAACTAGTGTTGAGGAGGGGAGACTTGCTAGATCAGTGGTTAATTCCTAAAGTAATCATATGCACTGTAGAGAAGAGATAGTGGTAGGAATATAAATACATAAATGCTTGAGACTTTCAGAAAGTAATGATAGTCTTGGTGACTGTAGATCTGGGGAGGTAGGATGACTCTGAAGTTTGGCAGTAAAGTGACAGGAGATGTTAATGATGCATCTGAAATAGGAATTCTCCTCCATGAGCTAGTTTTTCAGGGAAGGCAATCACTGTGGTTTTGACATGTTGAATGTGTGACATGGGGCATCTGTCAAACAGGATTGTTAACTTTTTGCTTTATTCTGCTTCTCTGCATATGTCCACCTTTCTAGGGGATGATAGGTACAGGGGCACCATTCAGAGAGCAGACTGCCTTGATTGCCAAGAGCCCATGCAAGATCTCAGGAAAGTGAGACTCTCATCCTCAGTGTGGGATTCCGTTTTCTGTTGGTGTCTTTCAAATGGTGGGTGGGTTTCTGAGATAATATGGATATGTAACAGCATGTCCTATAACTGGCAATGACTTGACCACTGTCTATGAGAGAAGCACAGGACGGAGTATCCAAAAGCTCTCTTGAGAGCTTTAACACTTCACACGAAACTCAGACCCTTCCCTTTCATTCAGAACATGAACGGCACATCCCTTCTGGACGTCTCCCTAGACCTTCCCTCAAAATGAGCAAACTATGTGTGAGCTGCTTCTGGTTATGGTTTACTTTATATTTTTTTCTCATTATGTTGTTATTATCATAGGATGGGAGGTCCTATTGTAAAGACAGATGGCAATGTAGCTTTGAGATCATTAACTCTGCTTGGTAAGATTTCATTTGTATTTGCCTTTCTTTACACTTGGAGTTAAAAGAATATAATCTGATCTATAGTTATCTTGCTTTCATCTTTCCTTGTTCTGTTATCCCAGTTCAAGTTCAGACCCCAGCCTCAGATGTCTGTTCTGGGTGATTGACATAGTCGCTTCTAAATGGACTAAATTACTGACACCTTTCACTTTTCCTGTATAATAGTTTATATTTGGTGATTCCTTCTCATGCAACAGAACTGTGAGGTAGCCTAAAGCCTAGGGAGGATGTCAAGTCTGTACACCTGAAATTATCCTCATAGAGCTACAGAATTATCAGTGTAGAGCCTTACATATAGTCATTTTGAAGTTTTCATGTGCTGTTTCATGTGACTTCTGTCATTTAAATCTTACAACAACTTTGTGAAGTAAGCATCTTGTTTGCCTACAGTGATTGTTTGAATTAGGTTCAAAATTAATTGTACAAAAGCCTGGGAGCACAAAAGTACTTTGTAGTGGGTACAAAAGGCTGGAAAAGAAAGGCATAATTACTGGCCCCAATCACATGGTAATGTATCAAAGGCTGATTCCCAGCACTAGTAGTAATAACAGCTAATTCTTACTAAGTATTTCCTGTGTGCTGGGCACTGTTTTAAGCACTTTATATCTATTGACAGACTTAGGGTACATTTGCCACCATAACAGTTTGTTGATTGGATGATAGATATTGCTTCCAACCTCTTGCATTTTATTTTATTTATTTATTTGAGATGGAGTCTCTCTCTGTCACCCAGACTGGAGTGCTGTGGTGCCATCTCAGCTCACTGCAACCTCTGCTTCCCAGGTTCAAGTGATTCTCCTACCTCAGCTTCCTGAGTAGCTGGAATTATAGGCACATGTCACCATTCCCACCTAATTTTTGTGTTTTTAGTAGAGATGGGGTTTCACCATGTTGGTCAGGCTAGTCTCGAACTCCTGACCTGTGATCCACCCGCCTCAGCCTCCTAAAAGTGCTGGGATTATAGGTGTGAGCCACAGCTCCTGGCTTTGCATTTTAAAGGCAGAGAATGTGAAATAAGAAAAACAGCCTGCTGAGAACTAATCCCTGGGGCTCCACCTTTAACTAAAGGGCAGTGGAAAAAGTACAATAGACCAAGGAAATGGCTCAGAATTGCAGCCATGGCAGAACCGCACCTGGGAGAGTGTATTGTCTGTGAGTTGGTGAGAAAGAGGGATTCCAAAATAAACCCTTTACCCTACCTTTCCTTTAGTTGTCCAGACTGTGCTGTGCTCCTGGGCCTGGGTCTGGAGTTCCAATCCTGCTTCCCTGCCATCTAGCACACTGATACCCTCATTCAACCTTACAGAGAGTTGGAATGGTGCATTTCACTTTACTTGATTCTTGAGACAAGACTAGAGTGTTTGAAGAAAATATTTTACTTAAAGAAAAAATAAATAAATAAAAAGAAACAGCTTAGAAATAAAGGATTTTCCAGAATATAGAATTACAAACCTGATTTAACCAAAAGCTAGCCAGAAATCAACTCGATAAGTACAGTTTATCGAGCCCTTCTGGTTGGTTCCTGCTGCCCACTTAGATGCCATTTGGATGCTTAGTGACTTTTCTACTTTTAGGAAGATTCAGTTACCCCCAGAACTTGCTCTTGCTTTCTCTTTGGGGGTATATTATATAAAGCCCCTCAGGTCAGCCCCTGAAGCCCAAGGCCCTGTTTGTTCCTGCTCCTGTGTTATCCCCACATCCTTGGGTTCTGATTCCATCCCAGGCCCAGTACATGGCAAAAGCAGTTTCCCAGCTCACCATCAAAGTTCTTCTTGCCCATTACATACAACTGTGTTTTATGCCATCTGGACCTGTCTTGCAATTTGATATTTGTACTTTCTGGGGTTCTCAGTGATGTGGGGATGCAACAGTGCACAAAACAGATGCATATCACTGACTTCTTGGACATTTATTTCATTTGCATTGGTGGGACTTATATTTTGATTACATTTGGAATCAAAATATAATTGTATTATGTAGTTGTCAGTATAAGAATTTACTTAGGGGCTGGGCATGGTGGCTCACGCCTGTAATCCCAACACTGTGGGAGGCTGAGGTGGACAGATTACTTGAGGCCAGGAGTTTGAGACCAGCCTGGCCAACCTGGTGAACCTCGTCTTTACTAAAAATACAAAAATTAGCCGGACACTGTGGTGGATGCCTGTAATCCCAACTACCTGGGAGGCTGAGATGTGAGAATCGCTTGAACCTGGGAGTTGGAGGTTGCAATG